AGGCCATAAAAGGATTGGAGGTGGAGAGGTGGAGAGGAGGAGAAGAAAGAATTTCAAATCCTGAGTAATTTGAATGGCACGGATAAAAAAACATAATAACCTTACTCTGTAAAATTTAAAGGAAATTTACATTTATTAAATGACATAAAAAATAATAGCACAGAATACAAAATTTACAAAACAAGCTTGCACAAAATTTTCCTTTGTGTGCCAAATAATTAGGCAAGATAACAGTTTTAAAATACAATTATGTTTGGCAAGGTAAGGTCGAGGAGGAGGAACAAAACTGAATGTGACCAACTCCGAAGGTCCCCAATGGCAAAATAGGCAAAGGTCTACATGATCTCAACAACCAAACCAGTAGAAGAGGGCAGCACCAGTAAGGCTGGCATAACCAAGATGGATCTTGACAGACCAGGCATCTGACAGCCTGATGCAACCAGGTTTGCCAGATCTTGCTTGTCTCAATCCTCTTTGAGCTGTGAGGGAGACACTTCTGGCCAAGTTTGTGGGCTTCTCCATTGCACAGAATTGTTCTCCAAAACCAAATTCATGTGAATCGCCTCATCAAAATCTCTTTGACTTTGCTTTCTATCACCCTTCAACTTTTCAAGATTAGGCTGGGCTTTCACAGCCATCCCTGCCACTGCCACCAGAGAGAATAAAGGGAATAAGGAGAGAGGATGACAGTCCTAGTGCTTGGAATGCAAACGGGTGTTGACGATTATGTTGGGCTCATAAAATACGATTATTATCAAAAACATTTCACTTACTTCAATTCATATGGCTGTCAAAAGGAGTTGAAAATGTTGGCAATTCACAGGCATCACTAGGTTTCTGGTTTGTTTAGACATTAATTCAGTTTTGAAAACCGAGACGAGATCAATCTTGTATTTTTATAAAAAGTTAAAAATTAGGGTTAATACCTTTAATTTTCTGACAAACTTTTATCAAAAACAATAGAAAGTTAATCATATCACTCTCTAAATTTTTAGAATTTTCTCCTTTTTATTTTTTCTTTCTTTTAGTTTTTTTCTTTTCATAGTTGTTAGCATAAATTTTCTTTTGTTCAGATTCCAGAACTAGACAATGTTTTCCTTTTGACTGCCAAAACTCTTCTGCTTTCTTTTTCTTCTTCTTCATCTAAGTTCACCTCTCAGAACCAGCTGATGTCTTCCTTGTGAAACCTTTCACTATGCTTAGACCAACATAACTTCTCAAATAGCCACAAATCGGCTTCAAAATTTAAAAAATTGAAAAATAAGGAGTGTAACTTTCCCCATTGATTGCAAAATCACAAAATGTATGTTTAAACTATTGGGATCTGTCTTTCGAGGTTTTTGTTGCTATCTGAGTGTCAAGATTCCAAACATTTAACAGCAACAACATTTTTTAAATGAAACCCAAACAAAGGTTATTCTCTGAAGGAGAAGTAGAAGCAGAATGTCAGCTAAAATAACATTTATAGATTCTTTTCAGAAATATACAGTTAAATGTTGAATCTTCCTTGCAGTGAAGTTTGTTTTATAAAGTAATTAAGTTTTTTTAAACTGGTGCATGAAATGTATGGATAGACTTAATTTATGAGAGTCAGCTTAATGTGTTTGTGAGTTTGTAGACAAAGGCTAAGACAAAAGCTATTGTTAATCTTTTCTATTTTGTACATGGGCAAGGCCTTAGTCAGTGGCTGCTGTCTCTTCTATTGTGTGCATGTGTGTGGGTGCATGTGTGTATATGTGTACTTTGAAATTGTTTTGAGCCTTGAGAAGCAGTAGACTTCTATTTTTATATCTGTAATGGGGATCTGAAATGTAATTTCATATTAAGGTGTGAACTTTTTGAATACAAAGATTTCATTAGTGAGAAAATGATTTCACACTGGCTCACAAAAAATCTTTTTCTTGTGATTTATGGAAGTGGTAAAGGGAGTTATTATTGTTATTTTCTAAATGGTCCATCAATAACACATGATAGGTTTACAACTATGTTTGCAAGTATTTTGGCAGTATTTGCCTTAACAATTATTGTTTATCAAACAAAACTTTCTGATGGAATTTTATTGGTTGAAAAATATATATAGGATTTAATTCCTATAAAATCACGCCTGTTTACACACTTTTCAGACCATCAGATTTGATTCTCTTTTTATACAAGTTTTGAAAAAACAAATTTTATACAGGTATCTTTTTTATAAACTGTCAGTCTTCATTTTGGCTGTATTTTTATATCAATTTGAGCTTCACATATACAAAGTTTTACACATCAAATTTTATTCAGACCATTCTTTTACTAACTGCCTGGTTTCATTACAGTAGTGTTAGTAACTTTCTTCTTTTAATAAGTGTTCTTTAAAACACTTCTCGCAAAAGAAAATTGTAATAAACAAACCTAGTCTATTGTATTATGTTTTTTTTTACCCTTTAAGTCTTTTTATATAATTTAACATTTTTTTTATTATATAAATTATTATAATTAGTTTTGGCTGGAAACGTCAAGTTGTGCCATTAGTACTTGATTAAGATGGATATTTATCTGTACCCATATCACTACAGAATGTGACACAAGATGTGAGTTTAATGTGGGATTTCGAAAAACATACAAAAATTGTTCAAGCTCCCTCGGCACTTCCACTGAGACATTGGATAATGACCCCAGCCCCTTCCTGATGGACAGTTACTGCCTGGGGGGATGCTTCCTGGGGCTTGAGCAGATATTTTCAAAACCCCTCCTCCCCAGCATGTGCCTGACTAAGATGACTGAACCAAGATCTATTTCGTTATAAAGTTGACATTTTTCAGTGCATCCACATTGCAAATGAATATGATAAGGTCAGAGATTAATGTGGGATTAACAACAATAGTGTGGAAAAATTGTTCAAGCCCTCTCAGCACTTTTCCTTTTGAAGATGTCTCAGGTGCTGGGTGATGACCCCAGCTCCTCTTCCGAAGGAGAGGTACAGCTTAGGGGGGATGGCTCCTTGAGGCTTATGATATTATTTTTCAAACTCCCCCCTCCCCCCACATAAGTGCCTTGGATGACTGATCCTCTAGGAACCAGGATCTATTTCTTTAAAGGTGACAGCAGAAACAGATACTGACTATAAGTGATGATCCAATTTGATCCCCAGGAGAACTTGTTTTCTATTGAAATGTCTATTGCTTCAAGTTATTCAGTTCATTTCATTCAATTACTGACTCTCATTTTCCAGATGGGCAGCAGTAACTACAAATACATGTTTGAAGACCTTTTATTCCAAACATCACATATTGCAAAACGTATTAAAACTAAAGGGACATAACTTTGGTTCCGGAAGTGCTTCATCATCATCACTACTATTATTAATAAATATTATTTGTTTTATACAACTGGGGTGTGTGTGTGTGTGGGGGCCTCAACATTCATTGCCCCTCCCCTCTATCCCGTGAAAAAAACATGGACAAATTTTAGTGTACACATTATACTTGTGACTTAAAGTCTACCCCACCACTCAAAAGTCAAAACACTCTGGTGCGGACCTAGTTATTTAGTTATGATATTAAATGAGAGTTTTTTTTTAATATTTCTTTTCGTGGTCATGGGGATGTGAAGGTGGTGTAATGAATAGCGGCTCAGAATGAGAAATCAGAAATCCGAGTTCAAAGTCTAGTCAGATTTATTATATACATTCACTTATACCTTCTTAGAAAGGATAAGAACCCATCTACCCAGCTATGGGTTAAATAGTAGAACTTGTATCTGGAAAAATTATTTATTCTAAAAAATATATTAGTTAAATGGAATCAATTCAGTCGCCAAAAAATTATCCTCATAATCCAAAATATGTTTCAGTTTTAAATCACACAGAAAGGGTTGATAAATCGTAAAAAACAAAACAAATATAAAATCAAATCGTGGTCAGTGTTTAAGAATGGTATTTTTAAGTAAAGCCGTATTTTGGTGAATGGGTAAACACGTTTATTTCGCTAAATTAGATTTGTATTATTAATAATAGCCACATTATTTTTTAAATTAAATATTTCACCCTTTTTGCATATCTGTTTCGTAAATTTAAGTTAAAACAATAAAATTATTTCCACAATTATAGATAGCATTTTAAATAAATGTTGTTTTCAAGCCACCGGTTACACGTACGGTCTTCCATAGTTAATCAGGTGCACTGTTCCGGCTTGTATGTATGTAGGCGCCTGCGCAATGAATTCAGTTTTCAGGTCAGCCAAGTGATGTAATGGTTCTTTGTACAACAAACAAAATCTCTCTTCCTGTGACGTTTCTTTGGACACAGACGCAAAATTCACAGTGAAAAGAGGAGAAAATACAGGCAAATGGAAGCCAGAATGCAAGATTTGACATCGAAACGTCAGTGTCGGGCTTAATATTGGCTCGCTGACGTTTTGTATTATTATTATGTGGCCCGATCATACGACGGGGGAGTCGCCCAGTCAGAGGAACTTGCCAAAGCAGCCGACATTAATGTTGTAGTCTTTGGTTGGATTATTAATATTTGATCGAAAAAGGCAACAAAGTATCGTTATTGGACGATATTAAAATAATTACGGGAATTAAAATAAGGATACGGATTCGTTTCTTTTTATTTTGAGCTAGGTGTATACAAAAGGTGGATTCATTAAAAAGAAAAGCTAAATAAATTAGCAATATTTAGTTGTAAATTTTATTTTTGTTTTAACGAAAGAGCTTAGATTTAAAAAAAAATAAGATAAATTGTTTAAAATTATAAATCTAGAAGGTTTGTTTATTCTAGTTTAATTTAAAGGTTAATTTTATCATTTTTTTAATTTAAAGATCTAGTCTGTTTTTAGACAAGAGAGAGACCTGATTTCAATTCAACCTTTCCTCCTTTGTCAAAGTTCACGTCCGTCTTGTAAATAAGTCGAATTAATAATTAATTAAAAAACAAAAACAAAAAACTATAAATCTTCAGTGACTATCGATAGTTAGGTAGATATTATTTTATATATCTATCTATCTACCTACTTCGTTACATGCCTGACGACGAAGTTGAGCACAGTCCCGGACTAGTCGTTGTCGAAGAAGGAGGCGACCAGGAAAAAGAGATAGACGAAGAAAGCAACAGACAGAAAGATCGGCCAAGTTTTGGACTTGGAACTGAGCGGCCAGGGTTCGAACCTGCAGAGGAGGTCGTCGTCATCGTCCCCCCAACTCTGACTCCACCTCGACCGCCTTCTACCCGGGTGTTGGGGGGCATGAAAGATCACCACCCGACGTCGTCGTCGTCCTACACAGCTGTCTGTACGGAATCTCCTTCGCCCACCAAACTTTCTTCTTCATCTTCTTCCTCGGACGACGACGACGGGACGGACGGAATCAAGAAGAAGAAAAAAATGCCGAAAAAGGTTCGCAAATGGGAAATTTTCCCCGGAAAGAATCGCTTTTGTTGTGATGGTCGAGTGATGATGGCCAAACAGACGGGGATTTTTTACTTTACCTGCACACTTATTATTGTCACCAGTGGGTTGTTCTTCTGCTTCGAGTACGTATTTTTAATTCTATCTTTTTTTCTTTTTTTTGATTTCATGATTCTTTTGTCATTTTATTTATATATATTATATATATTTTTTTAAATCTCCATTTGATTCCCCTATCTCTCTCTTTCTGTTTTTATAGAGATTTACTAAGCGTAACTTAGATGTGGCACAAGGCCTAAAGTTTGGCGCATGCAATGAGGATCGAACTCGTAATTGATCTCTAGTTAGACAAGCTTACTAACCACGTCGAAGTGCCTGTGTATAGTTTTTCATCGTCTCTTTTTATTCATTTTGTCTCCTCTACGTCTACAGACACACACAAATTATTCGTGGTGCTGTAAAGTTAGTTTCAAGAATCCCTTTCTTCACTAAAACATCTGGTTTTTAGTCATTTTAGATTTAGAATCTATAATTTAGATTTTTGGAAGGAAGGGAGGCAGGCTGAGAACTTTTCAACATTTCCTATATATATATATATATATATAATATATATATATATATATATATTTCTAATTATATGGCAAAAATCAATATTTTCGATTCTGACAAGTGTTGCAGCCTAAGGAAGGCCTAATGTACAAAAATTTTGTAAAGAAAAATGTTCCCTATTTATTTATGAGTGAACCAATGTGTGTGTGTATATAATAATAAATTTCAAACATGTTTTACTGGAATTCACTAAGAAAGTCTGTGTTCATTGATAATTTTTTTTTCCAGTTTCCGTACATCCAATTTATAAAGTACCTGTTCAAATTTCATACAGAATATTTCACGCCTTTGTACCATAAAATATTTTAAATGATTTAATTAAAAATGTGTACGTGTGTATCCCTACATATCTATTCTCGTCTCTGTTCATATCTGATCTGGTATCTCTTAAACTTTATTTGTGGTTTCAGGAGAAATGAATAAAAAAACAAACACATAATTTATTCATCTGTTTAACTAATTCCTATTTTGCCAAATGCCACAGTTGTCAACCTATTTTATTTAACTTAAAATTTTATTTACTCATTTGATTCTCTTTGCTCTTTTCACCATTCAAAAATATTTTCCTGTGATTTGATTACAAAAAAAAAAAAAAAATTAAAGTTTAGAAAAAATAATTTCAATTTCAAAAAGTAAATATTTTTATGTTTTGCAATGTACTCTTTGGAAATTTCAAAAACTGAAAAATAAACTTCAATTAATTTATTTTAATGTTTAAAAAAATGATGCATTGGATTTACCTAATTTCCTTCTACCACTCCTATAAAAATCAGTACTTCAACATTTTTTAATTAATTTTTAAAGTTTCATATATAATTTAAATCAGAAAAAAAAAACTATTTTTGCTTTTTCTAGTGTGGTGTGTATAAAAGATAAAAAAAAAGGAATGACTTGTTAATTTAAAATTCTTATCAAGAATGAATAATTTACTTACTACTTGCTTGCAAAATTTTATTTCTTGCTGCCTAAAAAAAACATTTTGCAGAAAATAAACATGAAAGATTTTATTTTTAAATAAATTAATCAATCTTTGTAATTGTAAAATGAAACAAATTCAAGAAATGATTAATTCTACCTTTGCCATTTAAAAAAAAAATTTGAATGAATGAAACCGAATCCTTTCAAAAAAATAATTTATTTTATTAATTTTTGCTATTCTAACTATTTTCCCCTGAGTGTTATCTTTTTGGGTATTTCATTTCTTTCTTTAAATTAAAAAAAAAAATACTTTCATTCAAATCCTTTTCGTTGGACATTAATTACTAGTCATTTATTTAATTAATTCATTCTTTCTTAAAAGTAAAACCATTATTAACCATATTAATAATCCTTAAAAATGTAGGAAAGGAAATATATCCAAGCATATCGATCAGTAAGTCTACTTAGAATGGGGAAGAATTAGTCATTTATGGTGAACAACGTGGTCAATATGAAAATTGCTGATCGACCAGCGACTTCAGGATAATGAAACAAACATGGCTTTTATTATTATTATTATTATTATATACAACACCAACAATTTATTTTTATAAGTCTCTTACTTTGTTCTTCTACAACCCTGAAAAATACCCATTTTTTTTTTTTTTTAAGTTTTAGTGGAGATATGAGACTAGGCAAAAAAAAAAAATTATTAAATGATTCTACACTAAAAATGTGTTTCATTTAGAGGATGAAGGATAGTTGGGAAATAAAATCTGTCATTTGATCAGTTTCTTATTTGGATTGTCATCTGGAGCCAGCCTTGTGGCTAAAAGATCTTCGATGTATTTTGAAATTAAATGACAAACAAAAAGATGTTTTTCTTATGTTCAGCTCATAAAATTATTTGCTTAAACAATTAATTAATTGCTCAATTTTTAGATTCAACTTGAACAAGCGACTTCGTCAAAGCTTGCCATTATTAAAATGTTTTTTTTTTTAGTTTACACTTGTTTATGCGTCAAATTTCAAACCTTCATCGAACGGTACTTTTTACTTCGCCCTTCAGAGACTCGTGATGTAAAACTTCAAATCGCATAGGTAATTTTAATTTATGTACACACACTACATTTTATTACATCTCTCTCTCTCTAGTCACAACCCTTATTTTTATTTTTAGCTCTGTTCGGAAATTTGTGCAACGAAAGTGTGGATAATTTTTTTTTTTTTGAAATTGCTTCAGTATTAGTTTTGAATGAAAGCGAAAAATATGATCCTTACAGAAATATTCATAGTATAAATTTTTAAGTCTCGTCGATGCCTCTGAGAATCTGTTGCATCTCTCGCTACTTTTGAAATATAAATCTGATAACGATTGGCCATCCGTAGAAAATGACTCTACTAAAATGGGTCAACCGTCTTGCGTTTTTATATTTTCCACCGGTACTGCATTTATTATTATTTTTGTTTTAAATTAAAAAGGTTTTACTTTTATTGTCACAAATGAAATCATTTTGTGCATTTTTATCGGATTTATATTTCTTTACATACAAGCATTTCAACTGGTTTAAAAAATATATCAATATTGGCTTTTTTTTTTTTTTTTTACTTTGACTAAAAAAGACGTAATTTAAATCTCTTATTTAAAAATCTTTTTAATACTTTTTCTTTATAGACCCTGATCAATCTGAATTTGTTTTTCTCTGTTTCTTGTCTTTAGTAACAGTTATTCATTTGCCTGACGTGAAGGCTTGTTGAAATAAAGAAATTATGGCTCAATCAGACCTTCACTATTATTACTCCTATTTACTTGTAGTAGTGAATAACTTACCAGCCACAAACACAATTTTAAATTGGTACATAATTTGAACAACCTTTTATTTCCAACAATAATGCATCGAATAATAATTGAAGCTGACTAAATTAGCACCTTTCAAAAAAAAAAAAAAACAATAAAAAATGAACATTCTTTGACATAAAATTTGCTTCTATTTTAAATCTTTTTTTTTTTTTTTTTTTTTACCTGAAATGTTCTTTTAATAAAGCAATAAACATTTCAAATAAAATTATTTGAAATGTTTGTTTTAGTACGAAATTTAGATCTGAATGGGTCTCGGTCAAGATATTATAGACAGTGTACTTTAAAAATTGTATTGCTGTTTCAAAAGTTAATTAATAATTTGGTCAGCAAAAAAAATAAAAATGAAATTCTTAAGGTTTTTATTAGGTTGAAATTTGATTGTTGGCTTAAAAAAGATGGTCTTTTTTTAATTTATTTATTTTTAGCTGCTAAATAATTAAAGTGAAAATTTAAAATTACCTTTAAAATGGTGGGGAGATATTTTATTTGTAAAATTAAAAAAATGTTCACTTTCACTATTATACTGATTTTATTTATTTTTTTTTTATTTTTTTTTTTTATTTCTGCAAACAAAATAAGCTTGAATTTTAGTGATGTGTTTTTTATTTATTCCAATAATCACCATTATTTATTCAAATACCGATATGAACTGTGCATTTTTAAATGCAAATAGCGTCAATGGTCCCCCTAAAATATGGGGGGGGGGCAGATTATTAAAATTTAAAAATCTGCTTGATTAGAGAATCTGAATATGATCGTTTCATTTTTACCACGAAGTCAACTGCAATTTTAACAACATAATCTGTAACAATAATTATTTTAACAGGGATTTTTGTTGGATAAAAGGAGAAATATTACTAGAATGTTTTGTTTTTTTTTATTTATAACCTCGTGTGTGTGTTATTTTCATAATCTATTTCATCTAGAAGAGAGAAAAATTGACAAAGATTACAAACAATCAAAAACATCCGAACTGAAGAAACGATCAACAGATGGAAATTCTTTAACTCAAGATTGTTTTATTTTTCAATCATTTGATTTCATTTGTTTCGAGGGAGAAATTATTTTTTATGCATCCCTTGATTTTGAGATTTTAGCTTCCATTTGTAAATAAAGGGGCTTCTTCTCTTTTTGAATCGATGTTTTTTTGTTTGTTTTTTTTTTTTTTTTATGAAGTATTTAAGTTTTTTTATTTTTAATTAAAGTTTATTTTCTTTTTTTTTTTTTTTTTCTCGATGTTAAAAGGAAATTATCATTCTTTGATAGTGGTCCTTATTGACAAATAAATCGCATCGTATTTCTGCTACTACTGACATGTCGGAAGAATTGTTTATAACAAGTAGTATTGTTTGTGGCTGTTCTTTTGTCGATATAGTCAGCCAAATAAAATTTATTTTTTAAGGAAATCAATAAAATATAAATAAATTTTTCTAACAAATAAACACGCTTGAATTTGGCAACGATTTTTAAAGCTTATTTTATTATTATTTTTAATAAGCTATTTTATTTTTTTTTTTATTCATTATCCATTGACTTGCTAACTTTTTTTTTTTTTTTTAATTACTGTCCCGGACCAAGTGGAGATTTATTTTTATTTAAACAGGAACAGGGAAAAATAAGCTAATTCTGCTTAATAAATTCTAGGGATAAAATACCAATAATATCAATAATTATTAGCCATTTTTTTTTCTCTTCTCGTATGATTATATTAGTAGAGAAGAATTAATCTAACTGACG